TGGGAACAGCAAGGATACTGCGCAGAACCCTCAAGCTTCCTGGCCTCTGGTAGAGGACCCGAGCTGAATGAGGGATGGACACCACCCGAGGGGTGAGACGAGGATTTATATATATATATATATCCACACTCTGCAGACCAACGGTTTTGGTGAATTTATACTGTGTTGATCTCATCACATTTGTCTCGATCTGATCACTGACTTGGTATCAATTTTGTCAATATTTTTCAAAATATTGACAAAATTGATTAGACCACCACTATTCTGCAACTCCTGTGTGCAAGGTGTTAACGCGAAGGTAGATAAGGTATATTTTGATGGAGAAGATTGACTCTGATGATTTTTGATCGCGGTTTTGGTGAATTTATACTGTGTTGATCTCATCACATTTGTCTCGATCTGATCACTGACTTGGTATCAATTTTGTCAATATTTTTCAAAATATTGACAAAATTGATTAGACCACCACTATTCTGCAACTCCTGTGTGCAAGGTGTTAACGCGAAGGTAGATAAGGTATATTTTGATGGAGAAGATTGACTCTGATGATTTTTGATCGTATTTTTATGATTTATTATGTAGATGTTTTCCATTTTGTTTTGTGTAGAGTTTTGCATGCATCACATTGTGTTGTTGATGTATTTATTTGTATTTGCTTGGTGAGCCTTGCCAGCATTGCAAGAGAAAAATTTGTTCACACTTCTCTGACCGGGATAAATAAAGGTTGAAAAAAAAAACAGATGTAGATGAAAATGTTGGTAGCTTAACCTTACAGTGTACATGGCCAAATTAAACAGAATAACATATTATCATAGTACAGTGAAACTCCTCTAGAACGAAACCTGCATGGGCGAAAATACCCCCTTATGTGAAAAAATCTTCATGCATTAACACAATTCCCATTCTCCTGCCCCCCATACGACGAAAAACCCCCTGTTGCGTTATACGAAATCATTTTGTCTGCTCCAGCCTCGCGAAGACATTCACTACAACGAAGTCTTATCCAACAGCGACCTCTACTGCTTCGTTCGAAAAAAGGCAACAGCAACCACCACACTGGTTTACATCGTGAACGATGTTTATTTCGGTCACAGCTGCGAGTTTCCTGGGCTCAACATACTCATAGCTGCTCTGCTATTGGCTTACCGAGCATCATCCTGGCCTCCGATTGGCCAAGAGGCCACATAGACCTCACTGTCTATGTGTGTAGATACTGAAGCTAGATCCGTAGCATCCGATTAGCTGCTCAGAGTAAATTGCTTATGGCTCGACGGACATTTACTTTACTTTTTATCATGCTAAAAACACCTACGGGACGCTTCGTAGTCCTCGATGGCCATAGTTAGCTCTCGAAGGCTAAAAACCTTACGCTAACTGGAGCGCTTCTCTCTCATTAGCGCTCCAGTTAGCGTAAGGTTTTTAGTCTTCGAGAGCTAACTATGGCCATCGAGGACTACGAAGCGCCCCGTGGCTGGCTTAAAAGTTCATTGCATGCCAGGAAGTATTTGTTATTGTTAGATTCAGACGAGGATGGACGTTGCATTGCTAAAATGGCTACAAAACGGACCTTTTGATGTCAAGCAGCTAAGGCAAGAAGAGCTCTGATGCTGGAAGAGAGGGTAAAAGTGATCAAAATGAAAGACGGAGCAAGCAAAATAAAAGACATTTTCCAAGAAATTGATGTAAGTGAAAGTGAATGCTGATCGTAAATTTCGCAATTTCTTTCCCTTTTTTTCTTTCTACACTGACAATATGAAGTGTCAAATAAGTGTGTGCTCATACTTATGTACTATTGGAATAAAAATAGAGTACACAAACGTTTGTGTGTGCGTGTACACATACGTTTGTGTGTGTGGGTGTGTGTGTGCTTACATCTAAGATCAAATTTGCTACAGTGAAAAACCCCCTGTTGTGAAAAATTTCTTGCTGCAAACATGATTTCGTTGTAGAGGAGTTTCACTGTATGTCAGAAACTCAAGATCTGTCAACGGTAGTGGAATGTCACTTAATAAAAATGTAATATGGAGGAAGGGGGCTCATCTGTGAAGAACTCATTTTAAACATATGAGTATACAGCACAGGTGTCAAACTCAAGGCTCAGGGGCCAGATCATGCCCACAAAAGAAAATCATGTGCACTGACTTCATGTTTGTTGCTTAAAAATATACACACAATAAATAAATCCAAAGTCTCTTTATGTTTAATATACTAGATATTGTAAAAATTGTTTTGTGAGCGGTCCTTGTTGCAAACTAAATGGAATAGTACTTTAACAAACAGTTTTTACTGGACTCTGATTTCAAAATTAGTCATCTATTTGTGGCGCTGTAGGTGTAATATGAGGCGAACATACATATATTCCATTTCACAGTCATAACTGCCCTCCAACATAAACCCTCATTATGATGTGGCCCGTGACAAAAAACGAGTTTGACACACTTGCTCTACAGTAAGCTATGTGTTTCCACAAATTGTCAGTGCCCATAAGTGAGATTCAGTCACACAAGTCACAATGACAACTTGAAATGAATCAGTGCTTGGCATCCAACTTCATGGTGCAGTGTACAGTACCTGGGAAATTGCATCAATTATACAGAAGATGGGAATTTTCTATGCATTCAAAAACCTTTTTGACTTGTAGAAATAATACCAATGTCTGGGCAAAGTGCCTGCTGCTCACTTAGAATGATCTCGATCTTGAATAACTGGTTCTCTGTTGAGGTAAGTGGCCCAATAAACAAGGTTAAAGCTGCCAAATAGCACAGGGAACATGATGCGGGAAATGCGGTCGATCTTGCTGACACTGTTGAACGTTTTCTTGTGATGTTCGGGTTTCTTCTCTGAGGAGGCCTTGTTGGGATCATTGATGGAACACTTGGAAATTGTGGGTAACATCGAGTCTTTCGTTAAATTAGGAGCATAGTTGGCAACGGCCACAGCGTAGGCATTGTTCTTCTTCACCACAGAGGATTCTTTTTTCTACAGGGGAAAATGCCATTGGATTAGATGATGATTGGCGTAAATATTGCATTCGTGCTGCGGAAAAGCATCTTGATCAATAAGCAAGCACAACATCTCGTAAACATGCTGGAAATGTGGAGGAGTAAATTATATTATGTTGACCATCGAAAGAAAACAGGTAAGTTTCTTGCTTCAGATGACATTTTTAAAAATTGTCAAAAATTGACATCATGGTGGTATTTTTTTTCATATTTATGACAGTAAAAGGGCAGCCTGGTGGTCCAGTGGTTAGCGCGTCGACCTCACAGTGCAGAGGTCGCGGGTTCGAGTCCAGCTCCAGCCTTCTTGTGTGGAGTTTGCACGTTCTCCCCATGTCTGCATGGGTTTTCTCCGGGTACTCCAATACTCCACATTCCAAAAACATGCTTGGCAGACTGATTGAACACTCAAAATTATCCCGAGGTGTGAGTGTGAGTGCGGATGGTTGTTCGCTTCTGTGTGCCCTGCGATTGGCTGCCAACCGGTTCAGGGTGTCCCTCGCCTACTACCTGAAGACGGCTGGGAGAGGCGCCAGCACGCCCCGTGAACCTTGAGAGGATAAAGCGGTTCCAAAAATGGCCGGTGCAAGAGTGGTGTCTCTCAGTTTTGTGGTTGGGAGTTTGAATATAATCTTTTAGTGTTGTTTGCAACAGACAATGCAAACCGGTACACACATTGAATGAGCTGCTGTTAATTACTGGCATTTTAAATTAGACTAAAAGTCTCTCTTGCACCAAAAGTTAGACATGGTCTGAGGAGGTATAAGCTTAGACTTGGGGTAGGCAGCTCTGGTCTTTGAGAGATGCTATCCTGCCTGTTTTAGAGGTTTCCCATCTCCAACACACCTGACTCAAATGATCAGCTGAGGTGGGGAACTTCTAAAACAGTCAGGAGAGTGGCCCACGAGGACTGATGTTACCTTCCCATTACCTGGACCAACTTTCAGCCTTACTGATCTGTGTAATTCGCCGAGTGATGTCAAAGGATGCATGGAAATCAGGATCACACATGGCATTTCCGCATCTGCCGTTGACCAAAATTAGAGCCCATAAATGTGTGACAGTCGTACCTTGTCATTGACGATACTCTTTCCGTCCCAGGCCCAGCCTCGCTTGGTGAAGTAGTTGACTGTGGCAAATTCAATGAGAGCAGAGAAGACAAACGCATAGCACACAGCGATGAACCAGTCCATTGCTGTCGCATAGGCCACTTTGGGCAGTGAATTGCGGGCACTAATACTTAAGGTGGTCATTGTGAGCACTGTGGTTACACCTGGAATGAAAACAGTAAAACATAGAATTGTCAATCAGAATCAATTCATGTTTATAGCGTAGCAATAGTTCTGAAGGACTTCATAAATAAAGTCAGATTAATAAATTAAAAATGGACATTTTTTTCTCAGTATTTATGGTTTAGGCCAGTGGTCCCCAATCCCCTGGCCACGGATCGGTACCGGTCCGTGGGTCATTTGGTACTGGGCCTCACAGAAAGAATAAATAACTTACATTATTTCCATTTTATTTATTTCAGAAACTAAAAGATGTTTTATTTTGAAAGATTACCGGATCCTCTGTTACATCTGTCTACAGCTTGTCACTCTTGACTCAGGTCAAGGCACGCTTCTCGGTCATCTGATAGGTTACCGCTAAAATGAAACCCAGCACCTAGCAAAATGAGTAAAAATCAAACGTCTTTGGAAAGTTTCTTTGGGAAGGGGAAAAGGCCCAGCCAGGAGACAGAAGGAGAGCCTCCGACTTCCAAGAAAAAGAAGGCTACATAAAATAGACAGTATCAGGAATCTTCCTTAAATTACGTATTTATCTCAACGGGAGATTCCAACTCTGCATAATATCCAGTGATAGTGAGTCCTATTTTTCATGCACTTTGTACTTGCGGTGTATCTTATTTTGAAGGCACGTTTAAACGTTACCATAACGACCAGACAATGTTGCGGCCAGATAGGCCGTTCCTAGTGTCATGATTCGTGTTTATTATTACCGTATTTTCACGACCATTCGGCGCACCGTATTGTTGGGCGCAGTCTCAGTAACGGGTGCTATTTCTGTATTTGACACATACACAAAATGCACTGTATTATTGGGCGCAGCCAGACATGGTAAAACATACGGCAGCTTAAACATACGGCATGCATGCACACACGCTAAAAACACGTTAGCTTGAAGCATACGGTAGCATGCATGCACACTAAAACATACCAGGTATGTCAGCTTAAAGCATACGGTAGCAGCTAAGACATACGGACACACGCTAAAAACACGTTTTTAAAAAGGCAAAGGAAGCAAAACTGAGTTCGGTTGTACTTTATTTAGCCATTTTACAACGTACTCACGCGACTGGTACCTGCTAGGGGCGTGCCCTTAGCGTCTTCTTACACGCCCACCCTTCACTCATTGGCGACTGGTACCTGCTAGGGACGTGCCTTTAGCGTCCTCTTACACGCCCACCCTTCACTCATTGGCCGACTTCCCCATGCCTGTCGTCACTCACGTCCACCTTTTCTCTATATAAACAGCGTGTCGGCCAGAGGTGCTCTCAGTCAGGCTTTGAAACTCGGCGCATACATAACACGCACCGCATCATAAGGCGTCCTGTCCATTTTGGAGAAAATTTAAGACTTTTAGTGGCGCCTTATAGTCGTGAAAATACGGTATGTTACGAAAATACCACAGTTTTTATGCAGGTCATATCATATTATTTTGTTGTATTCACTTTAAAGGCCAGTCTCTGAAGAAAAGTTTGTGGACCGCTGATTTATACAATTCAAAGAATCAATTTGTTGATGCACACATACAAGTGCATACTCCCAAATACATTACAACAGCTACGTTTTTTTAAATAACAATTAATCAAGCAGACTATTTACTTTGACAGCAACATTAACAAGAGGAGGGTGATCACACAGTGTGCGTGACATCTGTGATAGTGACGATGTCCATTGTGGCGGATTGCAGACAAACATGTCTCTATTGGGATTTTTAATTTCTTTTTTTAACTCACATGAGCAGAAAAATGAACTATTCGGTGAACAAACATTTTGAATTAACTGATTCTTATGAATCAGTACACAGTACACTGTCCCCCCATCACTAGTGCGCTTGCAATGAGCTAGCTTGGCTTTGAACTAAAAGTTAAAATATTACTCCAAAGAATCTCAATGACAATATAGATAAACAGACACATAACCAACATGATATAGGTTTAAGAAGTTCAACCACAAAGCAGGCTATTTCATTTTCTGCTCTACTTTGTTTCTGTTTTTGTTTCAGCACCAGCTGGAGTGTTGGGCGTGACCCTTCAGCGGCACACCTGTGTCTTGTCATGCAATCAAGCTTCAGTGCATTTTAGGACTTCCAAGATGCCTTGTGTTTGTCGGATTATTGACTTTGATTGCTGTTCTTACCCAAGTGCCATTCTCTTGCTCTTTGTCGCTTTCATCGTAATAAGGTGTGTTCACACGGCAACATTTGCTCCAGTGCTGCGCCAGTGCTGCCCCAGTAGAGCGTTCACACGTGCAAAGTTACACCAGTGTAGCCCCTGAAAACAGCTTAAACCGGAGTAAATTTAACCAGGAGGTGGTTTAAAAATTTGCTCCGGAGCAAATGCTCATTTGCGGGGCAGCACCAATGTAAAATGGTACGTGTGAACGCTGCAGGTTTAAAAATTTGCTCGTTTGTTGGGGAGTAGCCTTGCTACGCATGAGAAGAGTTGATTACATACGGCTAGAATGCGTTGCTTTCGTGTTCTGTTGTATTTCTGTCATCTTTCCTTTTGTAGGAGACTGGACTGTCTCGGAGTTGTTTGTGTAGTTTGTTCCTCTGTTGTGTATTCACAAACACCCCATAGAATTTATTTTGTGATTTCCTCTCTTCATTTTCTGTTTGGTGCATTATATGTTTGCTTTTCTGAGTGTCATTGAAGTCATCGTTGATTTACCTTTCCGGGGACAGTCATTGAACGCCTCTCGAGCAGAAGGCACGGAGACCGAGAAGGAGAAGGACGTGCCTGTACAGTAGTTGCTTGAGTTGTGTATGTTTTAAAAAGAACCAATACGACAGCTCTTTGTTTTCTATCGTTTTGCATCGCTGCAGAAACCACCGTGTGAACGCAAGTGGGGCTGCACCGGGGTTAACACGCTCAGCGGCTTTGTACATGTGAACGCTCCACATAATTTGCTCCGGTGTAAGATATATCGCAACAAAATACATCGGTGCAGCACCAGAGCAAATGTGTGCCGTGTGAACACCCCTATTGATTTGGGTTTTGTAAGTATCCTTTTGTCTAACAATTGTTTAGTTTTATGTTTGTGTGATTGGACTTATTTCTTTTAGTCGATTTTCGGGGCTTAACGTTACCTTGCCATTTGCAAGCGCTTTTTGTTTCTCATTTGGTTTTCCTGACTTTTAGTCGCCAGTGATTTCTGTTCGTACTTTGTCGGTCATTCTCTTTCTCAAAATAAATATCATTTTGTGTCATCATTTATCTGATTCTACATTTTTTGGGGGATTCACAATCCGCCCCGGTCTAGTTTCAATCTTGTCAGGCTATAAATAATTCGAGCAAACAAACAATTGTTTCTTTGCTCAAAATTGTTTTGTTTTTTCTTTCTGCCTTATGACTGCTGTTTCGTTATACATATATGTATATATATATATATATATATAT